ATTAATAAACAAGTGCCTAACTTCAAGATTGGCCGTATATTAACAAAACGCCGTATGTAGTACAGAGAACTGCTAACACTACGATACGTTTAAAATTATCAAGAAGATTAAACCTCTGGCCTTGAAGGCAACCAGCAACCGAGTAAAACTGCTATGGCAAGCGGCTTGCTTCTAATAACTCCTTCCTCTCTCTTGCTTGGCAAAAAGCCACAACTTAAGTACTTGGCGTTAGCAAGACAAATTTGCATAAATAAGTTAAAGCTTTTAATTCTGGCCGGAAGTAGAAAATAAGAAGTGATAGTAAAGATTTAAAATAAAATAAACGTTAGTAAAACTTAGAATCCTTACAACATAATCAAAATAACTTTGGAGAAAATGAGCGAATCTGTGCAACGATGTCGCTTGCCTAATCGCAAGCGTCCGTGCAGATCTAAAAATAACGAGCATGGCACTAGAATGTGTGTGATTGCATATCACCATACACAGAGAAGATGATACAAATTGTCATCGCTTTTGAAAACTCTTTGCAAGTGTGCACATACTTTATAAAGCACCTTTTCTTAAATTCCAAGAAAGTATATTGTTTAGAGAGAAGGGCAGTGAGTATTAACATTTTCTTTTATATACCGAAATACGATGGCTATCCGGAAGGAATAATTTGAGGAAACTTTTGGAAATGAGAGTGGATGTTTTAATTCTTTTTAATCCAACATTTCTCAATGGCTAAGGCTGTGATATTTGAAGTTAAAGATAGCTTTATTGATGTTAATTTGTTGATACAGTTACCTTACCTTTGTCACATTTTTTATTTATAAATTAATTAAACCTTCCGTTACATAGTATTAATGTAATCGTATTTAAAGTACACGAAAAGGTGGAAGCTACAATGTAAAAGATCAGTTTTGAAACTTTCCTATTAGCTTCATGCCTGATGAAATTTCGGTTGCTATCGAGGAACATCTGATTCCTATTGCAGAATATTTGACCGAGTATTGTCCTCCACTTCATAGCAAAAAGGCATTGAGAAGAAACCCTTTCGCAAATAATACAGAAATAATAAGGAATTATTTCCTATTCATAATTGAATTATCTTGGGACACAGGGTTTGAAGACAAGTTTGAGGAAATACAGAGCTTATAGTTTCATCAAGAGTACTTTTGTGTATGGTGCCCAAGGCGCAATTTTGCCACGAAGAATTTGGCGGATACCGTCTGATGTTACTGTCAGACAAATGAGATAAGTCACAGCAACAAAAAAACAGAGTGCCTACTTTGGGCACATAGACCAATTAAATTTCTAATGCCTTTTGTTACAACTTCCACACGTGAAATATCGTTCTCGATACTTGTTTTTCTAAAAATAAAATAATACCTAGAGCGATTAGATGTCGAACCATATTTAGGAAGAATGCTATGTAATTTTTGACTTATTTTATGATGCACAGTAGTCGGAATAACAAATACATTTTATATCAGCTGATGCTATGAACTCACGTCCACCACAATCATTCTACTCTTATTATTAAAAGATGTTATTTTTACTTCCTTGTACGAAGTCTTTGTACGGAGTAAAAAGGAAGTATTGTAATCCCAAAAAGTTTCAGGCAGCATAACGAAATTATCCATTTTGACCGCTATCGAATGCAATTTAACGATGTATTTGTTTGATATCTGTACGTAAGGACAGAATAAAATACTCGTTTCCTCCCAAAAAAGTTATAAAACTGCTTTAAAATGAATTCTGAAGAGAATTTTTCGTGGCGTCTGTACGAACGTATGTACGTACGTATCTTGCATAACTCAAAAACGAGTAGCCTCAGAACGTTGAAATTTTACATATAGTAAGACGGCTATACCATGTAGATGTGCACCTCGTATTTTGGTTGCAATCGGCCTCACCAAACCTATATAAATATTTTTTATGTATTTTTGCATTATCGCGAAGTGAGAACTTAATTAATTCAATGAGAAATACTCAAGCGTCTGGGAAAAAATGTTTCTTTTTTGTTTTGCTTTCTTAATTTCTGTTATACATTGTTCTAGATTTATTATAGTATTTGAATAGAACAAGTGGCAGCGATTAGATAATTTTTTAAATGATATCAATTTTGTGCATTCTGAGTTATAATATGAACGAAATATAATACTGTTAAGTGAATCTAGCGCCAGAGTGTCGCTATGGTAAATAAATACTAGAGTGCATTTTAAAGAATGCATTTATTCTATTGTGGTTTATGCGCTGTCGGCGAAGCAGATTTAATTCAATCCAATAAGTTTAAATGAAATGCAAGAAAAAATGCGTATAATTTAATATTCCGTACAAGGAAGTCATGTGGTGTACACATCAGATCTTTTACACTAGTTCTTACACATAACTATGGATGAAAATTGAATTAATGTATTTTTTTAGTTTAACCAAAAAACTATTTTAATAAACCTTTTGCCTTGATAATGTTAGCTCTGGTAGATATTTTACTGTGATTAAAAGGGCTAAATAAATAAAATACTGAAGAAACTCGTAATTTTTCTAAATGAGGCTTCGTAGAAAGCCGGAAAAGCTTTCTTTTGATTACTGATCTCTCTGGATTTAGCCCTCTAGAGTGGATTAGTAGTCTGAATGACCCCATCATCGCAATGCGGAGGACGAAAAAAAGATCAAGCGAAAAAGTGTTCTTTCCATTTCGCCACGTATCTCTTATCATCTGAAAGAATTTTTTCTCTCCTTCTGTGTAATCTTACTATAAATACAGTGAAATGCGTCCATCTGAGATTGCCGAAATTTTATTTACTTAGTTTGCTCAAATAGCATTAAGTATTAAATTCTTATTAGTACAAGACATCCGAAAGGCAATACAGATTGATTAATGAATTCCAATATACGTCGGTTCATTGTATGTGAAGCAATTGCCATTGTCGCCGCTCTGATGCGAGTTAGTTGTCAAGTAGGACCAATAGAGCAAGGGACTAAGTAGTTCAAAAATTTTTGTTTCCTCTCCATGTTTATCTCCCTTTATGCCCTTAAATCTTCCTAGTGTTTTATGAGATAAAAGAGGAGCGACTGAAATAAAAGGGTTAAAATGTCATTTATTGGAAACTTTAAGGGTCCACTGTCTCCTTATCTCATATTACCCAATTTTGTTTGAGAAAGCTACAGAAGACATGTATTACATGAAAAAGCTGATTCTTTAAATTTTTCTGTTGCATTACACTAAGAGAAAATAAACCGCATCTTTGAATGCTTTGGGTTATTTTAGAAGTTGCTGAGAATTGAGACAGAACATACTTATCTAAATGCACCTCCATGACAAAATGATAATATCATTTAAAATCAACTTTCTCAAATCAAAACGGATTTTTAACATGTTTCGCAAATGTACACAGTCCATTATAATTAATGACTGTCTTCATTGACTCTATGGTAAACATATTTGGTGAAACTTTATACTTGAATCCTAAGCTGCTGTTTAAAAGCTTCATTTCAGATGTTGTTTTCAATCAAAATAAGCAGAGCAACAATGAATATTAAGCACCAATTTTCAGAAAGCCAATTATTAGATGTACTGTGTATAGAAGTTTGTCAAGAATATCTACATATCCTTAACTATTGAATTCAGACATCCACTTCTAATACCAAAATTTCTCAGAATTAACGGCGTATTTTATGAAAATAGTTTAGCGCTAAGTATTGGTTTTGTAACTGCAACATATTTTTAACGAATTTTGTACGTATGTAAATAGTTTTAGTGAAATTATATGTGAAATTGTCGCATTTTTTGTATAATGTAAATCGAAATGTTTGAAGGATATGATGCTTTGCCAGAAAACAAAAACACAGGGGCAAATCTATTTAACACTGAGTACATGGCTTTCTCTCTAAATTGGCGAGGTATCGTCAAGCTGGTAATGGTTTTGGCGACTAATTTTTGTCGGCAAATTTGGCGTGAAATCGCCAAAAGTCGTCAAGTTTGGCGACATTTTTGTCTGGTCCCTATGTAACTGTAATTATTGTAATTGAATAAATATAATTGATCTTATGCATAACTGTACCCCTATCCGACCGTCATATGCCTTCCAAAAATTCTGAGAAGTGAAAGGTACTAGAGATTTCTAGACAGAAACCGGTAAAAAACTATATAAGACTGGATGAGAATTAGTGTCTCAGTAATTGTTAGTTCAGCGTGACTTCGGAATATTGAGATATCCGTGGGAGCTATTAGAGGGAATATGCATTGTATTGTGTTTAACGTTCTTCGTAGTTTGGAGTATAACTACTGATTATGCTTTGTCGTACTGAGAAGAGCTGTACGAATACTTTTGTGGAAAGTTCTAATACTGTAATTTGTTTCTTTTTCGGAAATAAATTTTATCAAACTATCATCGATTCTGGGTACATTCAATTCGTTATGAACCCATACTCCACTACAGTATAATTACTGGTGGGATTATCTTAGAGAAATATCATTAGACTTAGAAGGAAAGCTAGCGAATTTCCTGACGACACTCCCCACGAAAGTTTCAGGAGTGATCGAGCTTGTGAACAAATAACAGGTGAATTCGCTGTTACCCGCAAACTCCAGAAAAGAACATACAAAGTGCCCAAAGCGTTTGCAACGAATATAGCCATAGATTAGCAAACTATAGGTAACTGTGCAGTAACTGTATGTAACTGTGCAGTTTAAGACGTTCGAGAAAATTTATAGATAATATATTTCAAATGTTACCATTTCTCAAAGATTCTAATACACTAATAAAATAATACACTAATAAATACCCAAGCCTTCTCCGGGGTGCAGACTGGGAACCATCCATACGACAACTGGTACCGCTAGCCGCTAAACCATACATAGTTACAAAAAATGAAGTCTTTAGCTTCCTTTCTCAAACATTTTATATACAAGTTAATCAAATAACATTTATATATAAGTATTAGAGACAAATTGGGGTTTCATATTTTAGAATCATAAGGCTTTTTTTGAAGCTGGGAACATGAAAAATGAGTAATGCCCTCGCCAGGATTCAAACCTGGACCTCTCGAATAGGCGCCGAGTGTGCTGCCGTTACACCACGAGGGCATGCGGAAAAGGAGGGAGAAAATACCTTACCCTTTTAAAGGGTGAGTGGGGATTAGGGAACCTAATCTCCAAATCCTGGTGGTGACAAATTATTGTCCACCACTTTATAGTTTGATGAATGACTAAATTTTTGAAGCAAGAAACATGAAAACGGAACAATGCTTCCCCGAGACTCGAACCTGGACCTCTCGAACATGCTTCGAGTGTGCTACCATTACACCACGAAGACATGAGAGCAGGAGGGAGAAAATACTAGTAATATTTGAAAAGTACATAAATATTTAGATTAACATAAGGGAAATGGTCAAAATAATGGGCAAGTATTTTCCTAACTGAAAGCATATTTATAAAGAGGTCAGTCAGTACTTAACTAGCATTTTACAATTAATTTGGAAAAAAAAATGTATACATATATTAAACTGTAAAAGCATTTAATTGGCATTAAGCATAAACGAAAGTTTTTAACATATACATAAATAATTTAGAAATGTGATATAATGATAGAAATGAAGGATAGAGTATGAATATTTCATTACTGTCACATAAGCTTTAATAAAAAAAGGAACCAGAGTAAACTTATATCCATCATATATGTCCAAACATTGAACGAGCTTTGCAAAGTATTTCCATGACATTGATGAATCCATTTTCCAGAACACTTTCAACAAGACATCGCTTTATCATTGATCCTGCAACGGCAATGTTTCTTCAAAACATTTTCCAGTATTTGGATGGTAAAATTTTTAAAAAATAATTTCGCCGCTCATGTGTGAAATAAACATTCTTGCGCCATGGTATTACGAAAACTAAAAAAAAAAATTATTTTTCTAGAAAACTGATAGTGCCTCGCATAGATTAATGATTATGTTAAATATGTGTTCATTGTTTTAAAGAATTGATCCAAAAAGAATTAATAATTACACATAATTGCAGTTAATATTATCGAATTATTCTATTAGGCATTTCTCCCGCTTTCTTGGCATGCCTTCGTGGTGTGGTGGTCTGCACGCTGGGCGCGTATTCCAGAGGTCCCTGGTTTGATTCCCGGCGAAGGCGTTGCATATTTTTCATCTTGTCTGCTTCCAAAATTAACCTAATTTCCTAATGCTAATGTCTCTAGAAATCCTTTTGACGTACCATTTCTTAATAGTTAATTTCTGAAACTAAATAAGAGATGCTGTTTTTTCCTCTTCTGGTCTGTAAATGGATTAGGTGATTGTATTCAAATAACTTGTGTAAAAAAGGCAACTTTTGGTCTAGAACAATAAGGCTCAGCACTTCGATTTTAATTCAGTTCTTCGGTTATGCTTTCATTTCCTTAATGCCTTTTCCCTACCAATTTGGAGACACGTGTTTTCTTTCCTGCAAGTAGCCCATCAGCTGCCAAGCCATAAATTCGCTAAACACTGGTATTTCGATCCAGGATTAGAATTCCGGAAAATGAGCTGGCTGCATGAGGCTTTTCGTGGTTTTCCCATGTGTAACGCACATACCAGTCAGTTTGTCTTAAAAAGTCCTCTGCGAAGGCATCATTTGCCTTTAAGCACATATCTGAAGAGTGTTTTGCGATAATCAAAAAAAAAACAAAAAAACAAACCAATCTTACTAGGAAAGAAATGTCATCGTAATGTAAACGAAGAGAAGCATGTTAGACATAAACTATAGTTTACAGAATGCATTAAACTAACTACTAATAGATATAATAAAACCTTTTTCTTAAATTAAGGTCAGCAAAGAATAACAACATTACAATACGACAAGAGACGTGAATCACTTTATGAAGCTTTATTAATTAATGAAGTTTAAAATTAGAGCATTCAAATAATACTTTACAAGCCTGGCACTAAATATACTTATTTTGAAAACACATCATGTGATTTTAATAATGTTTTCAACCTAGTGGTCGCACAAATTTGTAACATTTTGCATACAACCCGGACGTTCAAAATGTTAATATTTACATTATTCCTTACACCCATTGCATTGAATGGAAAAATATATTTGAAGACTTATTTGAGATTATGATAATGTTTTTATTTATTATTACGGTGATATTTATTGTTACAATATTATTGACTGTTACGAATTATTATTACTAGGATAATTTTATTTTGTTTCCATATATTAAGCTCAGTTATGTAAAATTTGTATTTTGGGCAAGCATTACGACAGCACAGTAAATAATATTCAGTGTAATAAAAATTTTTCGTGACAGCATTCTCTCTTAATAAAAAGATTTCTTGTGAAATCTTTCGAAACATTCTATGTATGGGAAGTATTTCAGTCTTCTCCGAGGTTTTCGACCTCCGTCATAGTAAACAAAAAGGGAATACTATGTACAATATGAGAAATAAATTGAAAGCTAAAAATCGATAAAAATTCATTTGAAACCACTGTATGTACAGTAGATTTAAATTTTAAAATATCATTTACTTTGAAAGTCTGTTTTATTTGATGTATTGTTTTATGTAGAGAAAATTCTGTGTAATAATATTATATTTATTTTTCAAACTAACTGACTTAGCATTTCACTTACTGCTGCCTGATAAAACAACAAAAAAAAAATGGTATGAAACTTAAAAAAAAAAATTAAAAAAAAGAATCTGAAAGCTTTTAGATTTTATTTTACGACCAAAAGGACGTTGTCATGCTTTTCGCACTTAAACCACATAAATTTTAATTCAACAGCAATGTCACAAAATATTCAAAAACAGCAAAACGGCCTATCTTTATAATTTCCAATACACAGTCTCGCGCGCTGGAGATAAAAATGTTGTGTTTTTAGTTCTTAAAAATTTTTAACAGTACCCTAGGTAAATTAATCTCAAAGTCCCTAAAAAGAGCTAATCGTTCACACTAATGGAGTAACTTGACAGACCACTGAATAAATAATACCAATAAAACATAAAATATTTATCACTAAACAAATTTATTAATTTCTAGATTAAATAAACATTAAAGTAATCGGGTTAATTGATCACTTCCCTACAATTCGCTAAGATGCATTTAATCACATAAGTTTCAATTTGCTAAATAAAATACCCTCATTTTATATATTATATCTGATTTTAATATTATTTTCACATTCAATTATGCACAAATTTAGATGGTTAAACCAATTTTATAATCATTTCATTTGCATATACATTAAAATAACTGATTGTTATATAGTCACTAACTTTCAAAGATCTTTACAATAGTTAAAATAGTTAAGACAAGTAAAAAAAAATCATTATTCACAGGCTGAAACCCACAAATCGAAGTTCTCTTACTGGGGATGGGCATGATCGCCTGAATATCAGGAAATTTTAATAATCCAACAGATCTTCCTGGTTTTTTCGACTGTCCGCCTAACAAATCTTCTAAGAAACCCAAAACGTGCATTGCCGCCGGATTTCATGCCGGATCAAGAATATTTAACGCTTCGGTTCACTACGAATTCACACCTGTTCCGTGTTCGGAAGGGGTGTATCATAAGATGCAGGTAAGGTGAAAAGAATCTGCTCTTAATCATCTCGTACTAAATTGCTCTTTCTTCGGGAATAAAATGTAGAGCTCTAGTCATTCACTTTAGTATGTTTTTCTTCGCTTGAAATCGCCCAGCTTTTACGCAGATTTCGACGAAGATGTTTTTAAACTGCTAAGTCTATGAACGCTTTATTTTCGGTGACGATATTTTGTACAACGATGTTTTAGAACTGCGATGTTCTCTCCTTGCTTTCTTTTCGCATATGATGATTTGTGCGACGACGCTTTCATCTTACGTTGTCTTCTCCGCTACGTTTTGGTCTACCTTGTATTTGCGACTATGATTTCGGCTTGCATCGTTTTCAATAAGCTTGCTGTTAATTGTTAAATTACCTACAAATTCATCATAATATCAGTTTTAGTTATCTGTTACTTAGTGCATATTATCTAAAACGAATTGTTGCATTTTATCGCCTGCAGCGTATTTAACGGGATGTTAGAGAAATATCAATTAATTCTCATCGCATTTATAAATCTTGTAAGTTATGACCAACACATCTTTTAAAATGAATTCACCTCAGGCTTGTCGAAGCAATGCGAGTCTAAAACGAAAGAATGCATTAAAAATAAAAATGAAATAAAAATTTACATATAATGAAAAAAAAAAAGGAAAACAATATTGCAAAATAAAATACAAGAAAACTTCATAAGATAAGCCGTATATGCTACTTATTCCAAAGGGTAACAGGGTTTGCTATTATCTTCGCCACTTTCCTTAACTCTTTTGTTGACAAAATATAATCTTATATTAGATACTGGAAGTTCTGGAATGATTAATTCTTATATTATATTTTATGGAAAAATTGAAGTTTATTACCTAAAATCTGTTCCTTTCGACAACATAGTTTACTTTGCATATTCGGAAAGTCTACATACAAAGAGTAAAAACTTTTGTTAAAATTTTACGCTTTTCTTGAATTCTAAAGAAAGTAGATAAAATTTAACATTTTTTCCATTAGCGGGCATTTAGCCGATTTAGGCTTGACCACTACTAAGGCCGGAAGTAGTAGTTAGTATATTGTGGAAGTACCAAATAGGTGGATCACCGTTAAATCTAAAGCTTGTAGAGATATTAGGTATTTTTTTGAAAGCAGACAAAATTAAAAATAGCAAACGCCTTCGCCGGGAAGCGAACTACGGACCTCTGGATACCGGCCCAGCGTGCAGAACCACTACACTACGAAGAACGCTTGGAAAGTGGGAGAAATACCTTATAACCTGAATGGCAGAACTGGTGGGACAACGCCGAACAAGGAAGAAGGACTTATCAGTTGTTCCCAAAAGTAGGCACAGCTCCCAGTTTAATAACTAGAGATATAACGTGGTTCTTATCAGGGCATGGCTTTTTTCCCACGTACCTCTATGCAAGGAAATTAGCAACTTCACATCAATGTGGATGTGGAGAAAGAGGCAGTCCCGACCATTATATATTCAAATTCCCCCTTACAGCTTAACATCATCTAAAAGTCCCG